GTGTGTGTGTGTGTGTGTGTGTGTGTGTGTGTGTGTGTGTGTGTGTGTGTGTGTGTGTGTGTGTGTGTGTGTGTGTGTGTGAGAGTGAAGGAGAGAGGGAGTGACAGAAAGAAATGAGGAAGAGAAATGGAGCGCGAAAGTGTTTCTGAAAACAGTACTAATGGGTTAATCACGTCAGGTTCAGTGTCGAACAGGTGAGAAATCTACCATCACTTACCTGGGCAACATCTGTAGGAGCAGAGCCTCAGTTTTCTTCTTCTCCTCGACCAGTTGATCTGTCCGTTCCTCCACGAGGCTCTCTAGATTCGTCGCATACTTTTCCATCATTGCTATCATGTTATCGAATATATTTGGTTTCCTATAGGTAGTTAGATAAATAAATAAATGAATAAATAAATATATAAATAAATATATATATATATTTATTTATTTATTTATTTATTCATTCAGAGATCGGTATGTCATATATCTGGTACTGTATATATATGCATGTAAGATACGATACCAGCAGGTACGAAATTTTACATTAAATACCCGCTGTAATGTTCCCAGAAATGTAACCTCGCTTGCCTCTCTGCAAATCACCGATACTGGCAGCTATATTATATTATTATTCTTTATTTTTATTATTAGCTCAACGCATCCGATCTTCCTCCCAAACCGGTTAAGTAACGTCTACCACGTATGAAATGAATGCAATTGAATTAATGTCCGCGCACACTCGTGCGTGCCTGACTTAGTACATGCTTGCGCGCATGCGTTCGTGCGTGTCTGTTTGACTGCAAGCGCGCGTGCGTGCGTACACGGATCAATACTTACATGCCCTTCTGCATTGGCTTTAGTTTGCTTCTGATGGTCTTGAAGTCGGGTCGTACTAGCGGGTCCTCGGCCCAGCATTCGAGCATGCAGTCATGTACGCAGTCCGGCACCACGTTGTAAATCTGCTTGATGCTCGGCCTCAAGACCTGCTGCCCAGCGCGCGGGTTCTCCACCTGGCGGACGATCTCTGAACCACGCGGAAACACGCGCGTGTAAGCGTAACGCGAAGCACTGAGCTGTATATGTAATAACTGATATATATGTTGAATAAATGTTAAATGTTAAATATTAAAAAAATGTTATATAAATGTTATTATGTACAGGTCAGTAACGCGAGGCTTGTGGCCGTTTATTAGTTATAACATAGAGGGCGAGTGTAACGTTCTAGCCGCATATAGAGGGACGAGATATAGTTTCTACAACATGTCGTTAATAAGGTTCTTATTCAATACTTATAACGATGCCATACTGCTAAAGGTTCCATTAAGCTTAGATGATAACGAAGGCATAAGTAAAAACAATAACCAGCAGGACGTAATATAAGCAGCAAATGTGAACGTAGTGCGAGAGACGTTTTATAGGAAGAAAGATACGACAGCAAGAAGAATACCCGGTGGAAAAGTTAGCAAAAAGTGTTAACAATGCAGTGGTATTCACAGATACTACCAGTATTCAGCTAAAATGTAACTTCTTAACCAACTTCGCTCCTCTAACAATTTTATAACAGAATGCAATAACTTCGCCCATAAATTGCTGGCCCCCTGATAATTAATCACCCATGGCAACAGTGTATGAATGTCTGACATTCTCCGTCGGTACATCCACATGGGAGCGCGTTCAGTTATTACCTTCACAAGTGAGGGCAATCTCTCCCCACGGTCCCACGCGTGCATACACCTCATACAGGATGACGGCGAATGAGTATACGTCTCCCTTCTGAGTGCCACACAGCGGGCGGCTGTGGTCGCGTAGCAGCTCTGGAGCCGTCCATAGCATATCTACAACACAACGTACACGTAGCGTTTACGCACGCAGCCACGCACGCACGCACGCACGCACGCACGCAGCCACGCACTCGCGCACGACGGTCCTGTTACACGGCCGGTGATGTTGCTATCTTCGATCACCGGTGATAGGTAAGAGACCGGCATGCGAGAGATAGATGAGCGGTGCTAGATGTGGCGCTCGATCCACTTTTCAAACAGATGATCGCGACAAGATGGACGCTGAGTAACGCCTCGAATCAATTGCTGGAATGTGAAAGAGGAACAGCAGGATATAGAAAAATAGAGAGTGAGAGAGAATTAGAGCAGAGAGAAGTGCGGGAGAGAAAAGCGAAATAATGAGGGGAGAGAACGCGAAATAGTGAGGGGACAGAACACGAAATATGAGGGAGAGAGCCGGGACATCATGAGAGAGGAGAGAGAGGAGACTAGACGAGAGAGAGAAAGGAGAGAGAAAGGAGAGAGAGGGAGAGAGAGAGAGAGAGAGAGATAAGAGAGATGAGAGACGAGAGTAAAGATGTGGAATGATAGAGAGAGAGAGGAGAGCGCTTCGACCGCGCGGCGGCGTGCTAGAGAAGGAGGGAGAAATAGCGGGGAAGAAAGAGAAAGGGGGAATGAAAGCGAGAGGGGTGGTGGGAGAGAGAGAGAGAGAGATGCGCGGGGTGGGGAGTCACAGGCAGAGGGAGAGTAAGCAAGAGCTAACGTAAAGAGACGAACAATCCGGTAAGAGAAACGTTGACTGGCAGCTAGTCTTACTCTGGAATAGTCTGTCGCCTTCATGCACGGGTTCTGCTCCCGCCTTGAACTCAAACAGGCCGTAGTCAGTGATCTTAAGGACCCAGCGTGAATCTACGACGCAGTTGGTCGACTTTAGATTGCCGTGAGAACGCAGCGGGCTGTTGTGCAGATATATCATCCCCTGTAGCGAGAGTCGAGTGACGTAAGCACCGTGACGTCACCATCGTTACGTCAGCACCGTGACGTCAGCAACGTGACGTCAGCAACGTGACGTCAGCAACGTGACGTCAGCACAATGTATACGCCACTGTAGCGAGAGTGAAACAATGCAAACAGCAACTGCTATCGTACCGTCAGCAAATCAATGCCAAGATCAACCGCTATATACGAAATCGATTTTTAAAGTGTCGAAAACTTAATCGCGTTTAAGCATCACCTGAGCGCCAACTACTAAACGTTACATTATGCCCTATGGTTGCGTCGTTCCTGCCTCTGCATAAGAAATGAGTTAACACGCATTCAAGAAGCTTTGCCTCGGGAAAAATCTATTTGACAGCGTTGAGAATGACTAATTCAGAGCCGGACAGAGTCAGCTTACGGCGATGCTACATGCGGAGACAGGCTGTAGGCTTGTGCACGATGTACAATGTACAAGTATTCATGCCAGCAGTGGTCTGATAGGACTCGTATTAGCAGCGGGGGAAAGCGTTTCCAAAGTCGCCTGTATTGTTAGTAATAGCATTTCTAGATGAATGCTTATTCAAAGCTATTGGCTTCACATGGTCGGACGCATTGTTGGTAATAACATTTCTAGATACATACTTACTCTAACCTATTTGCTTGGTACGTCGCATGTATTGTTGGTAATAACATTTCGGAATAAAGCTATTGACAACGTGTAATAGGTGCATTGTTTGTGATAATAACGTTTCTGTATAGAGCTTTATTTAATGTTATCAGCGTCATGTGGTGGGGGGACGCATTGTATGTAACATGATTTCTGGCAGCACACTTACCCTGATGATGTCAGCTACCAGCGATGCAATGAACATGTTGTCCAACCCAATCTCCTCATTCTCCAATATATCCTAAACACCAAGCATCAGAAATCTCCTATACATCGCCATCGTTACTAAATAATATAGTTACATATCACGCGGTGACTGTTAGCTCGTCTTGTGTAATAATATTACATTATCGTGTGACAAAAATTATCATATTAGGTGAAAGCACAACACAATGTCATGCCCGTTACATTCCCAACCAGGTTATATATAAAAAAGGGAATTAAATTTTTTTTTTATATAATATTTTTTTTTTTACCTCTTTAACTATTTGCGTTTTTGCGCATGTGACATAACATGATTAATATCGAGTGCAGCAGCAGCAACAGCAGCAATAGAGCAGCTACTCTATTCCCGTGTAACGCTAATGCTTCTACTATTCAATGATTGCGGGAAAATGTCACAGTAGTTTCCGCACGAAGAGCAAAACACGGTAAGATTCGATAACCGCGAATAAAACGTAAAACTGTCAGCCGGTGACTGGATGAAACATAGACTGACACCTAACCGGTGAGGATACGAACCTGCAAGCTCCCCTTTGAGCAGTACTCGCTGAGAATGAGTATCTTGGGTCCATCTATGCAGGTTCCCACGAACGGGTTGATATTGTCATGCCGGATGTCCCGTATCTGCCGCCAGGTTTACATTAATACATCGTCATTGTCGTGGTCGTCGTTATCGTTGTCATCATTGTCATCATCGCCATCATCACTATCCAACTGACATGCATCAACGTCATATGCGTATTCTCATCCCTATACATCTACTTCTCGTATATACATGCATCAACCCCCGGGCCGTGCACACACTGTCCCATTTTTCCCCTGTTTATTTGAAACGGAATGTAAAATGCCAAAAAAATAATGCGTACAAGCACTCCGGCTGATATGCATGGGCAGTTCGCAGAAACGCCATATCAATGCACTAGCTGCTACGTCACGCTTCTATTAGTGATCGCTCTCGTCCCGTACCACAGCGAGTGGCTCCGCGAGCATTCCCTGGCGGTAGCTATCGTCGCTATGACGTAGAGCCGCCGCCGCGTCTTTCGGCAGACGTAGAGTTAGGCAATTAGCCGCCAAACAGCCCTCGCTGTTTGAGGCGGATCGCGTTACGCTGCTGCTGCTATTATATCAGGTTCTTCTATAATGATAGGTGCTATTATATTAGGTTCTTCTATAATGATAGGTGCTATTATATTAGGTTCTTCTATAATGATAGGTGCTATTATATTAGGTTCTTCTATAATGATAGGTGCTATTATATGAGGTCGGCTCCTAGTGACGTGTAAGTGAATTAGCGGATCGCACTCTGCATTACAGAACGTTACGACATTATGGTTACGTATGACCAGCGTGTTCGTCTTCATAGACGGGAGACACTGTATGTAGATTTACGCGTCTCCGGGCGCGTTTGAGGCGGATGGGTGAACGTCTATATTGTCTTAGGTTGGTACAGACGAATACAGAGAAATAACGGGAATTTCCACGGGATGGCGAAATACGAGACATATTTTGTTTTCGTTATTGTGTCTGTGTGTGTGTGTGCGCGCGTACGTGCGTGCGTGCGTGCGTGCGTGCGTGCGTGC